AAGGTGTTGATCTCCAATGTAATGAAGATATAGATACATTGTCTCTGCTAAAACTGATAATATTATTATACGCTGATGATGCTGTTCTTTTTAGTGAAGACCAAGTTGAATTGCAAAAATCATTAGATACATTTCAGCAATATTGTTCCACATGGAAATTACAAGTAAATCTCGCAAAAACAAAAGTGCTCATTTTTGGTAGCGGACCTGCGACCAAATCCAAAAATATATTCGTGTATCAAAACCAAAACATAGAAATAGTCGACGTGTACAATTATCTTGGAATCAAACTTCATAGGAATGGTAGATATATAATTACAATCAAATCATTAGTTGAGAGTGCAACAAAAGCCATGTATGCTTTATTGAAAAAAGCCCGGAATATAAATTTACCACTAGATTGTATTTTAACAGCTTTTAACACTATGATCGTACCTATTATGATATATGGATCCGAAATTTGGGGATTCGAAAACTTACTGACTATTGAAAGACTACACCTTAAATTCTTTAAACTAATTTCGTCCTTAAGAAACTCAACTCCAAGCTTTGCTCTCTATGGTGAATTTGGAAGAGCGCCAATATATAGCAAAATATACAAACGAGTAATAACCTTTTGGCATAAGATCGCTACTTTAAAATCTCCAGTAAACTGTACAATTATATCCAAGTTAATGTCCCAGATATGTTAGATCGACTGAGATGGTTTTCATTTGTTAAAAAATTCTGAATGATTACGGGTTAAACGAAATATATGATAACCCTTCCACTTGCACCACCACGTGGCTAGCCTCAACAGTAGAACAGATACTCAAGGACCAAAATTTACAAAATTGGAGAAGTTCCGTCGAACAAAGTTCCAAGGGATTTTATTACAAATATTATAAACAGGATTTATCTTTTGAACCGTACCTTTATATGCCAAAATCAATTTACATGCCTATTCTTAAATTTAGAACTAGTAACCATTATCTACCTGTTGAAACTGGCCGGTGGACAAATACTCCAAGAAATGGTCGTTTATGTAAATTATGTAACTCACCCGCTGTCGGTGATGAGTTTCACTATCTTTTCAGGTGCCAAACTCTTCACCAACAGCGGCAGCTGTACATACCTCAGTATGTCAATACCTGGCCCAACCTTTATACACTTAAAAGATTACTTTGTTCAAAGAAAGCTAAATATGTTAAAGAATTGTCAAAATTTATTAAATGTTTAGATAGAAGTTAAGATATAAATACATGTAATTAAATGTTTGTATCATTCTCTAACGACGCCCTTGTATATATGAATATGTGTGTACATGCATATTGTATTGTACGTTATCCTGCCTCAATTATATCTCTCCGATGCCATCTTGGTGTATATGTGTATATAATGTTTTTCCACTTCACTCATGTACCACCGTTGGTGGAAGTTGAGAAAATAAAACCTTCGAAACCTTCGCTAGAAGCCAGACACAATAACAACACAAGGGCTTAGATGAACGCGTTAACAATTGAAGCCTGCAAAGTACACAATGGGAAGTGAAGCCTGTGATATACATAAATAGGTGATTATGACAACGCATCATCCTCTGCTCTGACTTGTATATATGCTCCTTCATCCTTATGCTGTTCATCACTTGCTTAGAACCTACACCAAAACGTCGCTCTCGCAGCAATATAGAAATTGTTCATCCATATATTGTTATCCTTCCTGATCTCTTAGTTGTTAAGGGGAGGTGGGGTAGCGTAGTGGTTAAAGCGTTGGCTCGTCACACCGAAGACCCGGGTTCGAATCCCCACATGGGTACAATGTGTGAAGCCCATTTCTGGTGTTCCCCGCCGTGATGTTGCTGGAAGATTGCTAAAAGCGGCGTAAAACCAAACTCAGTCAGTCAGTCTTAGTTGTTAAACACTGCACGCACTGACGCATCAATATTCAAGTTATGTGACAGCTATGACAATCGAGCCTGAAAAGGACAATCTAGTAATCGACGTAATTAGCATGGACCTCATTAGTTGGGGTACCATGATCTGTGTCTGTCAAGTCAGCGAGCCTGATTATGGTAGTCTTTTGTAGGAGAAGAGTGGGTTTCTGAAGTCTGTTCCGGATCATAACAGGGACTCGAGGAGAGGGGATATATCTAATCTAAGATACACATTGAAAATATAAATCAACAATGTCACACGTCTTCGTATACTTATTCAAACTTTAAAATGTACTTTCGATCAATGTTGAAGAGTTTGGCACATATACATTATACATCGTGGGCTTTGTTCTTTGACGACGGAAGCACCTGGTCGTGTCGCTCATTAGAGTTATCTCCCTTCAACCATTCGCTTTCAAATGGCCACATTTCCAAACCGATGTTTTAATTTCGGAAATACCTTACCGATCTGATTTGAATGAATGTGACTGATATTCACCCGCACTAACTTACAGGGCTATAAAAGTATTCACTAAAGGTTGCTCGCCTCTAAAGACCATACAGATATGACACACAATTCATCGTTGATTTGTTCTGGAAGTTTGGAAACATTTAACTGATAAATTTGTCTAAACTGCTATAAAGGATGTATTTAGTTTTCAAGAGTCGGTCTATATTTATTGCTGAATACATCGCGGACCAATATCTCCACATAAACCCGGAACAGCACAGAGCGTCAGTTTCCCACGATCTGCACCTCCCGTATTGGCCACATCAGTGTATTTGTTTTTTCATTATGAAGTACAGGGGTTTTCAAAATGAAACGTTACAAGTGTTTCAGAAACAACAAATACGGATAATATAATAATGTACGTTTCACCTCACCATATGGCTGCTTCTGAAGATGACAGTGTTGATTCCAGTGTAGAACTGGACCCCAGTAAACTCTGCCTGTGTGAGATGCGACGATGAAGTCAAACTCTGTAACCTGGCCCGCGTTTCACAAAGCGATCATAGCGCTACCACTATCGCATCTCCTATACTGTAACAGAGTGACGACAGTCGTAGCGCTAAGATCGCTTTGTGAAACTGGGCCTAGATTTTCGAAGCTATCTTAGCGCTAAGATAGTCGTAAGTGCCATACATTAACATTAACTTATGACTATCTTAGCGCTAAGAGAGCTTCGAAAATGTAGGCCCTGGTGTGTGTGTCATCCAGCGTGGGACGTAACGTCCTAATGTCAACCATTGGTCTGTCTGGTCCAAGCTAGTTTATTTACAGCCTGTCGTGATCTAATTCACTGTACCTAAGGTGAGTTTTTTACCAGCATCCAAACATGGCCGCAGGTAAGGTCGCTTGGCGATTATTCCCCTCGAATTAGCAGTCTTCCACGTGTATACGATCAACATTATTTAGCACACTGATAAACTTTGATGGTGTGAATACATTGAATGCACTGAATTTGCTTATTAATGTCTGTGTTGAAGAATAAGCATTTTTGATATCGCGTGACGATGTCGGTAACTCAAAGTCTGGATGTCGGTAACGTGCAATGAATGATGCTGGTAACTCATACTGTCCTGCTATAGTCGGTAAACAGAAATTGTCGATTTATATTATAATACAAAGGAGAAACTTATGTCAGTTCTTATATTTGTACTGCTGCTACATTAACAGTATGAGCGACTTTTTCTGTGCGCCGGAGAGATGTTGTTTGTCTTGAAGCAGGGTGTGTTTAACAGTAGTAGTGTCTGGTGCTTAGCATTAAGGGAAACAAAGACCAGTGGGCCTGGGCCTGGGCCCGTTTCACAAAGCTATCGTAGTGCTACGACTGTCGTAAGTCTATGGTACAGTATAGGAGGTACGTACGACAGTCGTAGCGCTACGACAGCTTTGTGAAACGGGGCCCAGGACACCTGTTGTGGATATCACGGGGACCTATTTACGTCAGGGGCGGAAACAACTTTTTGAGAATAGGTGTGCGCGCGCGTGTGTGTGTGCGTGCGCACAGTTCATTTTCACCCGTTTTTACGAGAGTTTCAATGGTCATTTATAATTAGCTTTCAGGAAAAAAGGGGTAGTAATGGGGTACGAACCCCCTCTGGATCCGCCTATATGAACGTCGTCTACGCACACTTACATAGGTCTGCTCCCAAAATGTTAAAATATGGTAATTTCACACCACTTCCTGTTGAACATAAAACGTAACACCGTACAACAGTTCATATAGTTATTTATTCATACTTTCACGAGCAGTGTTAATGAAACAGCATGTTAACAATTGCAGGGAAGTAACATAACCCCGTCATTCCTTCTCATCACCATAAAGATGATTTAATGGCAGTGAAAACATAATACGCTAGAAAGATCCTTTTTTGCCCAAACTAAGACTTTATTACTTTTCTGCTCACCACTGTCAAGCTTATTATCGGGTGTCACGAGCCTAATCGTTATTAAACCCACTACCTCATTATTACGCTATTCATCGTAGCCTTCTTCGCACTCTACCGATGTTACACGGAAATCCACGAAGCACGTTAAAGCGAGGATAATACGATGATGATTTCTCATTTATTATGATTTAACATTTATCGAATAACTCTCTGTACTGAAATGATTACAAGTGGTTCTAAATTCTAGGACTGCTTTTCTGCTTGACACCATCCTGGCAGTATGACTTGAGAGAAAAACAGGCTTATGATATAAAATATAAGTAGAAATATTTGCAAGGTATACTGTAGTATATATATGATGTTTCATATTGCATATTTGAAAATATATTGCACTGTGTATTGTTTACAGATACTATCTCTGTTTTTTATACCATGCCTAGGTGGGCGCTATACAATATGTACAAGCTTCTTTACAAATACAGTGTTAGCGGTATAGGTGTTTACGTCGTCATAAGTTGTCCCAATAAAATCTGACATGTTTTTTTGGCAGACAATGACAGTATGGTGGTTGAAGCTGCATTCACTGGTCACGATGAGCAGATCGGCATTCCTATGATAATATCATTTGGGCAACATTATAACGTGTGTTTGATCTCTATGGCCCATTCAGCAATATTCCATTCCGGTTGGTTTGTAAAGTTTACCGTCCGGAAACGGAAACCGCATATCCGTTACAGACAGTCACATGTATAACGTAATAGATTGTTTTCAGTGTATGAAATAAGCCAAAAACCCAGCCAGACATCAGGGCTGGTAACTTCAAAATGTTACCAGCCCAAAATGGATTTAACCAGACCAGAAAATCCAAATAAAACAACTCACATGTATGAACCATGTTATCTAAATATTTTACCAGACCTTTGGGCTGGCTGGCTGTAAAATTAGACCGTCAGTCAGAAATCTAGCCCGTCTCGGGCGGTAGGACGGGCCTTATTTCTGTTGTCTTTTTTAAAATGAAAATTGACCGGAAGGCGGGTTTTCCGGATATGTGAGGTCCGGGTATCCGGGGTCTGACTGTTTATGTCGGATACCTATAACAAACCACTGACTGATATTGTGAACAACGTTGCCGTCGCCGTTTGATGATCAGTCCTAGCAGCAGTCGCTTCTTGTGATCTATTTGAACCCGGAATTCTCCGACACAGAAATATCTGAACTCTTAGGCCAGTTATTACTGACAAGTTTCCGGCACAGCTGGCTACAAGGCCGGACATGTTGAAATGAATCCACCAAAACGTTTTATGTATTTTCCAGAACAGACGGTGAAGTTAACAGGAATCCATCATATACTGAACAAAATAAGTTATGGATCATACATTATTTGAGGGATACCAACATAAAATTGTGAGCTCAGCCTTCAATACAAAAATAAGATCCCCCAAATATTTATGGCTCCTGATGTATTTTGTTTAGTATTTCTTACTTAAGCACACAAACACCTTCTACACTAACGACACGTGCAGACACGTAAGGTACGTGTTAAAAGGTATCATACAAATACAACGGGGCCCATGTTTTTACTTGTGTCACCGTCCATATACTTAGGCGTATCCTCGTCGTGAGCGTACAGAGTCTGTTCAAAATCATCAAGAATCTCTGCCAGTTCCGCAGTATAACTTCTCATAGTCCCCACGGGAGAATGATTCTGCGAATAGTCCGGTTCAGGAGAACCCTGTCCTTCTTTTGTGTCCTCCAGTTCTTTGGAAAGATTTGACACCGTTGGCATTTTGGAGGGGAACATGAATGTCTGGTGAATGTCCCCATTAGATTCACGAGGTCCCTTCGTCTTGAGGAAATCTGGCAGATAGTGTCCCGTAGAGTGGGTCAGTTCGGGCTCCGACTTCCAGGCCGTTTGACTCCTGAAGTCTTTCGGCAGAGCTGGCCGGGGATGAAGAACCCAGTTGCCATCGAAACTCGTTTTGCTCGACGAGCCATCTTTGTGAAGCTTTTCTTCAAACGTGGATGAGCTCAATGGTTCCCTATGTAGGTCTGGTTGCGACAGAGATTTGGACTTCCGGCCGAAGCTGAACCATCCTTTGGAAGGGCTACTCTTCTGAGGCACACTTTTATTCTTGGACAGTCTCTTCCGCCTGGCGATGGCTGGTGGGACGTTATCAGTGGAGGTGTCGTTGAAGCAGTTGAGGCTGCTACCGCGGCGTTTGGAGACGCTTGCGATCTGAGCAGTGATCTTCTTCTCGAGGGTGGCGTCTGACTTAACGTCATCAAAGTCACCAGTTCCCACCCTCTTTGACCTGGGAACACTTCCCGCTGACACTGGGCGACGTGACACACTAGTCCTGTTGAGTCTCTCCATCTTCTCCACAGTTAGCTGAAACACGAATATAGGAGTCATGACTATACATAATAAAATACCATATGCTTATTTAACGTTGCACTCTTATGTCTAATCTTAGTTGGTCCTGCTAGCTACAGATGTGAGATGATATGCTTATTTAACGTTGCACTCTTATGTCTAATCTTAGTTGGTCCTGCTAGCTACAGATGTGAGATTACAAACTCTTTACATTACACAATATGTCGCCTTTCTTAAAAAGAAATTGTTTGGGGTACTATAGATTTTCATATTTTATGTAGTTTTATCATGCGTGTTCTACTGTTTTATGCTGATATGCAATTTTACAATGAGGTCTGGAACAGACTCGGCCACGTTTACTGACAACCACGCCAAACGTGGAAGCCCTGTTGTTAGACTTACTCTGTAGTCGGCAGCGAATCTGGTCACCATGTCACAAATGTCACGTGGCTCCACGTCATCCGTCTCCCCTAGCATCGTGCACACTTCTTTATACTGCGACATCATCTTGGCGAAGTCCTCCTCCACCTGCACATGCGCATCAGGCGCCGCCTTCAGGAAGGTGTACACAAAGTTAAGGAAAACGTCTACAGAGGAGGATCCAGGAATATTTTTCAAAGGGGGGTTGGGGGTTCGAATCCACTAACCCATCCTCGGCTCCGCCAATGCGAAAACATTAACTTCAATGTGGTTTTAAGTCATTTTCAAAATGGGGGGAGGGGCGTTCCGAAACTTACACGCTCCAAGACAACGATAGTATGCTCCTTTTTATTCCTGAGAGTTTAAGATTATTCAATACACCCTTTTCAGGGAAGCAAACTACACCGACATGGACAAACATATATTGTATAGATTTACTGTACATTGTCCGCATGTTGTAAGTGGCTTATCTTCAACATTTTACTGAATTACCAATTGCAACCTTCCATTGGTTTGTTATATGGGCTGGAGTTTCAGCATGCCTGGTTTGTGATGAGGAAGTTAAATGAGGGAGTTGGTGAAACCCCAGAAACATATTCGGGACGAACATATTTAGAGGTTTCTGGCCCAACAAGGGACATAACTCTGCGCAGCAAATGGCGTCGTGAAGTGGTCCACCAAGACCAAGTCTACATATTTTATCCTGCTGGCTAGTGGAACTGGAACCTTTATTTCCCATTGTTAGTATGTTTGTTGCAATATTCCAGCGCTGGTGGCGGTCTGTAAATAATCGAGTCTGGACCAGACAATCCAGTGATCAACATTATGGGCGTCGATGTACGCAGTGGGGAAAAGATGACGTGTTGCATTCTAGTGTTCTCAGCTATCGGACTCGTGGGTGTTTTGCGTTCATTTTAGCATGGGAGGTGATACCGAATCAATTTTCCTTCTGTTACTGGACACTGAGAGCCACAGATGTGTAGGCAGGACGTGTGCACAGGGAATGGGTGAAAAAAGCAAAACCCAAGGAAAAGTATTTCTGAGTTAATTTCCATAAAAAGGATATTTTGAGTGTGTCAACATCCGGGTACTGCAGAGCCTCCATGTTGAGAATCTTGACGCCGTTCTTGAGGTAGTCCAGCTGTTTCTCCATCACCCGAATCGACACTGAAACACACCGTGACACCATTTACAGTTATCAGTTAATATACATATATCATATTTGTATTCCGAAGGAAATTAATGATCCACAGAACTGACAGTATGCAATAATAATCATTCTTCGAGAAGCGTGTGTCCTATGACATGTGCACCACGTGACTCACCAGTGGAAGGTAGGTCGGCGTCCAGTTCGTGGTACCAGTCTCTGACTTCTGGGTAATGGGCACCAACTTCCGCTACCAGGTAGTCTAATACTGTCTGCGTGTTGTCATTAGAACTCACGTGACTCCGAGAAAGCTGAAACAGACAAGGTCCTTTGTCACCGGAGGGTATATACCTTCACATTCATTTGAGCAGTTTAACAGGTAAAAGCCTACATATTGCTCAATTTTTGATGGGGTTAATCAGTTATAATATACACTTGACATACCATGATAATCAAGTTTGTTTATTATCGACAGATGAACATATTTATGGAAGCGTTTTTGTGCCACTGTATAAACTGATTTGAACAATTACGTAGATAATACTTTCGGCTCCATAGAGCATACTGAGAAATGTGTGTGTGTGTGTGTGTGTGTGTGTGTGTGTGTGTGTGTGTTATTTGACTTCAAACATTGATGTGTCCTTATGGAGGTACTATTCAATAAAGAAACGCTTCATTTAAATATAAGTTTTGTTTAATGAACTTATCAGAGTTTTCCTATTTATTAACACCGATACTTTGAAATACTTTCTGTGAGTTGAATAATAGAACGGACCAAATGAAATTAACGATCAACATGCTGCCAAACATTTAAATAAATCATAAATATATTTGTTGAAACTATCGCCAGCAACTTCATAAAACAATATCATGGTCCAAGTAAGTACTACAATATCCTATATGGAGATGAGCATATCTTATACTTAAATGAAATTATCTTCTAAGTAGATGTATGCATCATCTACTTGGAAGATATAAATACTTTAGGCTATGGCACTAATACGCTTCCATACATACCCTTATCAAACGTGGAGTTGCACATAAGTAGCCCTTTAAAGAGTTTAAAAATCAGCTATAAGCATGAACTAGATAATTAGAGGGCCATTATTAACCCACAAAAATTACACAATTTTGTTGGCGAAAGCGTTAAATACTGTTCCGAATGTAAAATAAAAATAGATAGGTTTTATCATTTTGAATAACTGAGTTAATACTCAATGCATGGAAACAATCCGGACTTTCAAACAATATGGTACTAATACCGTGGCCAAAGAGGCCCATTCACAAACTGTATTACCTATGTAACATAACAACAAGAACGAGGTTCGATGACCTTCCAACGTGATAACAATGATCTAACACATGGAGCTGCTTTGACACATATGGGTCGCACTTTACCATTGACGTTGATAGACACAGTATGGGCCGCAATCAACATGGCCCTATTTTAATTTATTTTGATATTTTCATTTAACTATTCTGAATGAAGAACTTGTCAGTTCCAGCAGACTTGGTTCCATCCCGTCGTTTAACGTCAGTTTATTTACCATCAGAATGTACTCTTCCCTACACACTCACCGATTCTAGGGACGATATTTTGAAACCTCCCTCGGACTCCCTGTTCAATCCGTTCATGCGAGTGCCAAATTCTAGAATAATCTGAACAAAGCAAAGGAGGTGCACCATAACAGTCTCATTCCAAACACTCGTGTAATATAGGAAAGGAAAAGATTTGACTAAATTGAATATACTCCCGAGCAAAAGAAAGTGTACACCTGTAGGAGTTGACCATAAAAATCCGAACGTCGTGAAATCTTTCCTTGGCTTAAAGGCACAATTTCACATTTTCGACAATATGTATGCCTATATTATATAGATATATAGATATAGATATATATTGGGGCATATATACTCACTTTAGCTTCCTATTGAGGCAGTAAAAGACTTATTATCCCTTACGACTGAAAACGATCGATAATTGAAACTTCGAGGCGAACAGCTTCCAAACAGAGAACACTTGCCATATATGACATGTTAACAATTGCTCCGTACATCGAAAACTGTCGCACGCGGTGTTGTCGGTGTTTGCCGAACCGGTTTCAATCACAAGTTGCGCGTATGTTTTTATCTAGGACTGAGTTCTGTCTCCAAAGGAGTTATAGGATATTCGTAAAGAGCAATCCAAGGGACATAACTCTATGGGATTCGCTTTAAATAATGTTCGACTGGCAGAGGGCAACGTCGATTTATTGCAATGTTGTATTAATAATCATTCGAAACTTTTAATTTAATATTGGTAATCTAAATACGTATTTTAAAAAAATAATGTATATGATAGCTTCCCCGAGGGCTGATAGTTAGTACTATTAAGAGAAATGCATCAGTTTTTTTTGGAGAAGTGTGATGTGAAATAGTGCCTTTAAGTACTGTAAATGTATGGTAAAAAACATAAATATGATACCGCTATAAAGTACACTTATTTTTGTGTTTGTTTCTTTTTCTGGCCACCATCAATCGTAGTTGTATAATTTCTTTTACCAGGTAGTTTACGTATTGTTCAGGAAAATCAAAATAGAACTTATACTTATAGTGGACGTCGATTAACCGATTAACCGGGCCGCTGCCCAACATGTCTACAATGGTCAAACCGTGATATGACTGGAATTCTGCTACAAGGTCGTGAAACCATATTCACTCATAATCATACATTTAATTTGTTGGTTTGTGGTTTAAGGCTAAACTAACCAATAATCAGGATATATGACAGAATTCTGGAAATATTCTAAACCATTGATTCCAATGACTGATATGTGACAAGTATGTGATTTTGACCACTAGTCGCGATAGTCGCCTTATGACAAACATATTTTGCCTGGACCAATTCTAAGCTGGATCTGCACAGAGAGAGCTGTAATCGTTTGCAGTGTTGAAAAATGGACATGCATAGTGAAGTGATTTGTGATTTCAGTCAACGTGGCGTGATAGAAGTTCAGTGGTGTTGCCAGTGATGAAGGTGAGCACTCTTCTGCAAATGTCAAATATATCCATTGGATACTCTGTGTGGTTTGTGGTAACTTGTGAGCGTGGAATACATTACCTCGAATAATTGTTTCATTTTCGGATTGTGCAGTATACTCTCAGATGCTCGGTTGACCTGGTTGATTTTCTGAAACAGCAAAATATTTATATAACAATCAAACAAATAAGAAGGGGTTTCAAATGCCGGTATGTTATAAGCGTATGCTAATATACTCATGCCAATAATGGTTGTCACTCCCTTCAATTTTTTTAATTGGAGTGTGGGTGGGGTTGGGGTGGGGAGGGGGTGACAACCATTATTGGCATGAGTATATTTATTATACACCATGATATAGGGATGTAACGATGCATTAAACAATTGATGGATTGCAATTGTTGAGTCTCCGAAAGCAATTAATCGATGGTAGAAACGAAAAACCATCGATTGTCATTATATATATGTTTAACTGTAATTATACCATGCTAAACCGATGAGCAGCACAGTTGACATATAGAGGTTAGGGAACCTCATCATTTACCAATAGGTAACATACAAAGTAACTCCCTTAAGTGACATTTACAAGCTGGTATGATGAAGAGGAACGCTTTTTATGGATAGCCAACTTCTTTGTTGCAGTAGATGCGACGTTTCAACCCGACAATCAACAGAGATCAAGGTTATTACATGTACATCCCTACGGCTTACGTTCAACTAATCAACCCTATTCAAGAATAACCCACCCGTTGTCTACTGGCTTCAATCATTTCTTATCACAACAAGCCTCATGTCAACACACTGTACATCAACCTCTTCTATTGTATACACCCAATACCCGTCAAGTATATATTTCTCCTTGTGCATATGTTGGGCATCATTTGCTTGATGACGGTGTTATCAACACCGAAAAGTCGAATCTACTGCAACAAAGAAGTTGTCTATCCATAATAAGTGTTCCTCTTCAACATACAGAGTAATACTGATTAGTGTCACCTACTGTATGGCAACTATTAACCTCAAGCACTTCTGTAATTCTATGTTCCTGTTTCAGAAAAGATGCCACCCAACATTTCATAGGGAACTGAGTGTGTTGCGTCTCTGGAACTTTAGAGTGGTATGTATATGGTCAATATACATAGGGAACTGAGTGTGTTGCGTCTTTGGAACTTTAGAGTGGTATGTATATGGTCAATATACATAGGGAACTGAGTGTGTTACGTCTTTGGTACTTTAGAGTGGTATGTATATGGTCAATAGCGTACTGTTCTCAGCTCCTTCAGTCGGCTGTTGTAATGATTCATAAATCCGATCAACTTCAGTCGGTCTTCGCATTCGCTGATACTCTGCAGCTGGTGGAGAGAAAGGAAAATAACTTAGTACCATACCGCTTGGGTTCCCTTAAACTACAACATCATCACCATCACCACCACCACCACCATCGCTTGGTTGAAAATACTACTCAATTCGTGAAAACAATCCGGATTTTCAAACAATATGGAATTAATTACGTCGCAACAGCATAAACCCGGGTCTATAACCTTCCAACGTGAAAAACAATTCATTGAAGACATAGAAGATAGTGTTTTGAAGATAGGCTCCTTCTTCCCTCATGTTAGATATATTTTCCTGGACAGTAAAATGAATGGATTATTGTCCTGTGAAATGTTGAGATCACGTTGGGCCAGAATATTGTCACCTTTTCGCAAATACCTATTTTCATCACCACCGTACATTATGGTCGGAATTGTACACATTTTTCCTATGATAAAAGAAACGATCTTTGTCACTTTTAGTTTTCTAGAAGTCTAATACATGTATAGTGTGAAAAGATCTGCAAGCGTCATATTTAAGGATAACAAATATTTACTATAAAAAGGTTCCCCTAAATGAGTGTTAACTCGAACGATGGTAGAATTATCCGCGTCAAATACGAATAAATCTGATTGTTCATCACTCACTTTTTTAGAGAGATTCAAGAAGTCTCCAGTATGATGAGGGTTGTGGCTGTTTGTCGTTGATAGATCTGTGTCCTGTACAGAAAGAACGACTTGTTGTGTGTTCAGAAGCAATGATGCATTTCTTAATGAATTAGTTTAATAATTCTATAAGCAGGTTACCCATGTGTTGATTCGGAATATGGCACCGGTACGCCATACTTGACGAACGATAGACCTGAAGGAGGATCCGATGGTTACTATGTATAATCTGGCTCCGTGTGTCATCGTATTCCGACGGAGTGGGTCGTAACTCATGCTATCGACCACTGGTTTGTCCACCCTGATATAGATGGAATAATTTTCATTGCTGCGTAAAAATTATTTATTCACCATAGAGATCATAACTTGTCACACAGTTCGATCATTATTTCCAACTGCCTTTCTTAGTTTTCTCACATGACCAGATGGACCAGTGGTGCTTAATTCCCCAAGGGTAGAGTCCCACCAACAAAAGCCTACAATTGGGAATAGTTTATTTTAGTACTTTAGGCAATATAACTCACGTGGTTATTCATGTTCAGCAGCCTAAGTAAGACATCCGGGGCATCACCAGTCAGGCACGTGATATCATACGTCATGATGTAATGGCGGATGTCCGGGAAGGTATAACTCATGTTGGGGACGTCTAAATTGTAAACAAAACAAAAAGACTCGATATTTATAATTCTCAGTGGTTCTCTGGTATTTGATACGGGTGGGCTAGTCTAATGTCGAGTCATTAAAGTGATTGGCTTAGTCTGATGTACTGTTTGAACAGAGAATTGTTGATGCTTCGGGTTTTAGATGATTCAGTGGGCTATTTAACATGAGGACGTTTAACATGTAGAGTAACACTTCAGGGCCTAGATTTTCGAAGGTCTCTTAGAGCTAAGATTGTCCTAAGTGTCATGCATTAACATTAACTAACGACTATCTTAGCTAAGAGAGCTTCGAAAATCTAGGCCCTGGGGTTCGAGCGAAAAAGTTGTAAATAAATTGTTTTTCAACAAAAACAACAGATTTTGGCTTTGACCAATTTAAATATGGAAATAGACACTGAACAATAAATGTTTCTTAATAACGCCTACCTTGATATATCTTGGCCTCCTCGCCTCTCTGTTGTGTCATACTGGTCAGCTTGTGCCCTATCTGACTCAGGTTGTAACGCTCCTCTGCCCAGTGCTCAACCTGTGACCATACAAGATATAGCGAGTGAGCTGATAATGTAAGCAGAGAAACGGGTCGGACAACAGAAAGTGACATGGCTGAATGTAAAATACAAATGGGGGTGATTCCAGGAGTTTAAATGTGTGACCAGGTTTTCACGGGCCTTCGTTACCTAAACTTTTTAATGAACCCTCAAGCTTCAATATTATTTCAATTTTTCTTTTCTAAATGGTGACATGAGAATGGGTAGGATACTGTTTTCTTCAAAACAAAACTATCTCTAACTATAGATAGTATTATTTGGATATTTCCTTGCAACTACTCTTTTGTTAAAACAGAAGGAGGAGAATGTATTCGTTTCATGGCTCGTCATTGGAAATCGCACTCTTAAAGGAACATTTAGAAATATGACAGCTTTATGCAAACCATTCTAATGCTTCAAGAAACGCATGAAAAACATGAGCATATTATGAACCATTTAGGTTTACATGTACACTCAGTTAACGATGGTTTGACGCAACTTGGTCCTGCCTTACTGCTTTGTCGTATCTGATGACGCAGGTTTTAATGCATGGTGCCAGTCAGTGGGTTTTTGACACAATGTATTGGCAGGTAGTGGTGTTATATCTGGGATATTGCTGACAGCAGCGTTGAATGGCCCTATATTACATAACGTTTTCCTTTACGTCTTATAATTGGCGACGTTGCAATTATTTGGGCGTCTTGGACCCGAAGCATTTCTATATTACCGAGTGTAGAAGGTGATAAAGCTTACCTCTTGTCCATTGCTGGTGTATGTGATTGTGACGTCATCACGGAGAGGACCATTCGCCTGACTCAGGTTTGGAACTGACTTGCCTGTAACACAGGTACCCAACTTTGGTACACACTGGTAAATACCACATGAGATGTTTGACATGATTACACAGTAGGCTGCAAACCTTGAAACAAATGGCCCAAACGTTAAAAATCCATTTAATTGCCATTCAACCTAATGTGATATGTATGAAGGTTTTAATGATATTGTGTCGGTATTAGCTGGCATCGGTTGTATCAAAGGTTTAATGAAGTTGTGATGTTGCTGTTCGTAAACGATTGCAACGGAGATGTAATGACGTTGGGATGTCATTTGTCGTCACCGATGGTTCAATATTTTGATGACATTGTGATGTTATTAGTAGTGATGATGTTATTAGTAGTGATGTATGTGGAGCTCTAATGATTGTATGTGGAACTCTAATGACTTTGTAATGTTATTACGTTGGAATGTTATTAGTAGTGATTTCATCGATGACGTTGGAATGTTAAAATTTACTGACTATGTAAACGACTGCGTTAATGATTTAATGTTATTGTGGTGTTATCATGGAATAATAATTCATACGAAAATTCATTATTAATTATAACCACTACAAGCAATATATTAAGATTCAGATATTAGGAAAATATAAATATAGAATATTCGTTTCATCATGCATAAGTAACAGCTTAGAGAAAGACTCCTGTCATAAGTAGTAAAACTCGTCTCACAGATATACCATTAACAAAAGGGTGTAAATTACGGCTGCACAATTTCACAGATGCTCAAGATAAATTCCTAGCCTAAGGTATCAAGGACTCAAGCTGTCAGACAAACCTTTCAGAAAGACAAAGTTATGCCTAGACGGTTTAATAAGCTGTTTTGCTAAAGTAAACATGTCGTTAAGATCTAGCCCAGGGTAAGCATCCAAGCATCCAGTAAAAGTGCCAACGAGATTATTGCCAGTTGAAATAAGATTAACAGGATTAAGTACTTCCCCGTCTGGTCATTGAAGTTGTTCTTGTAGGACACACCCCATCTTGTATATTCTGTATTTCATTGGTTAATGTAGGTTACACCCATTTTTGTATCAGTCAACGAATCATAATCTCTGTATTGTTTCAATTTTAGATAAATAGTCACCAGTTCCAATTATTTGGTCAGTCGGGTTTAGACACCCAACACAGGTCAGCTCTAGCCCTCAGCCCAGAGGGTTGTACCGACTCTCTGTGGCCACCCCATGTTATTCCATTCTTGTAAATAAAATTGTGATTAGCTTCTTGTGACTGACTGACTGACTGAGTTTAGTTTTACGCCGCTTTTAGCAATATTCCAGCAATATCACGGCAGGGGACACCAGAAATGGGCTTAACACATTGTGCCCATGTGGGGAATCGAACCCGGGTCTTCGGCGTGACGAGCCAACGCTTTAACCACTAGGCTACCCCACCGCCCTAGCTTCTTGTGACTTCGGACTCTTTGCTGAGTTAATTCCCCCAAGAAGACCAGCACGCCAGTTAGATAAGGGGTTTCACCAGAACCATCACCTGGACCCAAGACCCTTATCAAAATAGTGTTATTAGTGGAGTTTTGACCAAATGAAGGTTCAACAATTAAAAATAATATTTACATACAAAGCCGTCATTAGTTAACATTTGGTTACTTGACATGTCTTTACAACTGATATTATGCCTGTTCTCACTAATGTCACATTAAGAATTGTCGATTTTTTTGTTAATCTAGCAATAATGTAATGAAGGTTTGATGCAGGCTGGTCGATTATCGATTTCTTACTTGCAAGATGTGCTGTTCTTGTATCCTTCCGCGGATTGACCTGCGGTTGACCTTGCACTACAGCATAGTTGACCTGTCCATCAGCTCGGTCGTATCTCCTGTCACGTGAAGCACGGAAGTCTAACTGGGAACGAGAGAAGAACATTAAATGATCGTGTTCCCCAATGTCCAATGATTACTACCTGTAGAGAGGTGACAGTATAACAAGCAGTAGCTGTAGTGCATGTACTGACATAGTGATTAATTCAATTTTAATGAATAGATGGTGGGTAGCTGCCGATTTCTCCAATCTATTAACCGCACGGTCCGGATTATCTTCATTTCTTCGACCAAGATTAAGTCGACCAACGCCGCAAAAGCGATGCACGTGAGGGTATCTTTACTGAAGGTAAAATCGTCATTTTGAAAATTAACAGAAAGCTAAAACAACTAGTAGAACCAGGTTGCCCTCAGAAACATGGACTCTATCCACTTTCCTTTTTGCCAATACTTTTTGTCTTCTTTGTCATTTTTAAATGTTAGCTGTCCGTAAGCTTGCCGTTTCATAACTATTGGCCTGGGTCTACTTACACACTGCAATCTTAGGTTTACGATGATCGTAACTCAAATACGCTATTATAGACTTACGACAGTCGTAACCCAAACTCGCTCAGGGCAAATTGTTTTTTGTGTCACTATTGTGTTTTTGTGTCAACAGTAAGCATTGCTACCAAACTGAACAATAGGCAGCTGGCGGTTCATGAGGTCAACCCGGACGAGTTTGTTAAGACAAAGTATAGCTAAAGACGTGACGGCTGTCTCTGGGGACAATCCCGACATCAAGTATTCCCGACACTCAAGGGACATAAACTGATAAATAATGACTGTTAAGAAGATTAGGTTTACTGATAAGGATATACACGTAGCTTTAGATCTTACCCGATTTTTCCTCAGGAGAGTGTCCACCTAAACACAACAAGAAAATCAGTTATTCATCAGAGGAGACAATCGTTTTGTGGAGAAATGGGCATTACAGTTCAATTATGTCGGTTCTGCAAGCTTATGCTAGTCTGATTGACAGTTGGATACAAACATGTTGTACTTGGTGTCAATGAATGTCAGTGTCCCATTCATGTTATGCCCAGGGGCTCCTTTCACGAAGCAACCTTTGCTAAGGTTAACCTTAACTCCCATTCTTTAACATTGCACTAAGGTTACCTTAGTGACTTACGATCACCTTAGTGCTTTGTGAAAGGAGGCCCAGAGCAATATTGTCTTTTACACTCAGTGAAATCTATTTTAGTGGTTCATTGAGACGGTTGTCTTGTTGTCTTGGCAGCGTCTGGTGTTGACATATTGAACTAACAAACACAAATTTTACCTTCAATTATCTATGTTTGGTGCAATATATTTCATTGACAATATGACTTTATGAAAGTTATCGTATACATTTATATTATCTTGCGACACAAACGACGCTTTTCTTGACCTTTAAACTGTCTGATGACCTTTTCATATTGTTTCATGTCATATGTCCTTGTCCTTGAACTCACGTTTATATATCTGGCTTGCCAATCGTCGAGCTCTTTCCGCAGATCGTCATACTCCAGTCCATCTCCGTTACAGTTCTGTTTAAAAGAGACGACTTGAGATAAATAACACTTGTCTTAATACTACTCGCGTGTGGTAGTTTTACAGATACTTCATGTTGTTTTTGTTTGTTGTTTAAGGCCGTGTTCTGCAATATTTCAGCTATATCACTACGGTTTGTAAATATACGTGTCTGGGTCAGACAATCCAGTGATTGACATCATGAGCATCGATCTACGTCATTGGGAAACGATGACATGCATCAACCAAGTCAGCGAGCCTGATCTCGGTGCTCGCTTCTTCCGACAGGCTTGGTTTGCTAGAGACCAGGCTAGCTATTCTCGAAACGTTCGTAGCCTTACGAACTTCTTAAGCCCATTCTTAACACATTGACTACGACCGAAGTTAAGAATTCTTAGGGCTACGAACGTTTCGAGAATAAGGGACCAGTTCTAAACAGGATCATCTCGATAAAGAGAAGTCTCACCATCATGTCTGGGAATAATGATTCATTCTGAGAATTATTCATTCTGGTGCGAGCGAACCTTCTACCTTCTCTTTACAAAACATATCCATTTTAAACGCACCTGTTACGGCACAAGTATGTCAATCAAACACACAAATTATAAAACTCGGGTGAATACCTAGATACCTGTTATTCTCAATACATCTCAATTGTAAGCACAGCAGTTTAGCGTAGCCTACCTCTACCAAGGGTGCAAGCTCAAAGCCAGCCATTCTCAGCTCTTCCTGGAGGTAAACTCTCAGACTCCCCGAGCTGGGACAGTTCAGAAGGGCGTTCAGGAACCTCATGCACGCCACCTGGGGAAAGAGTTCGAACAGTCATGAATGTTTCTCAATAGTACCTTCATGAATTTGTAACGAATCGATCTATATTTTTTCAAAGAAAGATAACTTCTTTGGAACGAACAAGCACATGCTAATTATATAGTTGGCACAACTACTGAAGAAAGGCGTCTCAGTTATTGCAACACCAATTCGCAAATGTTGAGCGAAACCATCTTCTGAATGAGTTTATTAAAACATAAAAACGTTTGGCTGGCCATATTCATCCTTTTCAATGACAGATGCTGTCATGATTAAGTGCATACAGCGCTAAACGCTTCCATTTTGAACAATATGAATATCCCTTCTTTATATGCTGTAGTGGGGTCTCACTGTACCTGGAAGAGCACGTGTCCCGACCCCCGGTTGTTGAGCATACTGATGAGAAGCTTGAACCTGACGGACTCCCCAGCTTCAGCCGCATGTACGTGAACGTGTCAAACACCTTGTCGAATCCTCCCGGTACGGCCAAACCCAGGGTGAGAACCTGGAACGACAGCCAGTTGCTGGGAACACAGACTCTAACGAATGATTCCTGTCACGGTACTCCATAATTTGTGACAATGAGTATGGTTTTGTCAATATAACGTAGGCTTGTTTGTTGATTAATGCTACGCTTTATATGTAATAATATAATATTCCAGGTAAATAATCGAGTCCTGACCAGATTAACAGGTGATTAGCATGAGCATCGATTCTCGAAATTGCTGTACAACAACATGCATGTGAGCATGTGACTTCGAAAGCCTTGATCCTTGCCGAAAACGTCCTAAAAGACACTTGTATTGACTTCGACAGACTTGATCCTTGACAAGAACTCTCTACAAGACACAGTTACTGACTTCGAAAGACTTGATCCTTGACAAAAACTTCCTACAAGACACAGGTCGAGAGACGTGATCATTGACCGACACCTCCCTAAAAGACACAGGTACTGACCTCCAGAGAAGTGATCCTTGACCGACACCTCCCTAAAAGACACAGGTACTGACCTCCAGAGAAGTGATCCTTGACTTGGTGTTGCTGCTCAGAAGACTCCAGACCAGAGTCTCCAGGTTGGTGAAGTTCTCCAGAAGCTGTTCCTGTGCAAGCTGGAACAAGGACAAGCGTCGCCATGGTTATCATGATACGGTTTACCATATTCATAATCTAAATGCAATTGGATGAATTTCCATTTCAGGTAGAGTTATATTCCATATAAGTAAAAACATTAGTGCCTTTCAGTTTATATATCTTTTGATACATTTGTTTGTAAAATGTCCCTGATGTTTCAACTGCTGCAAGGAAGCCGATGACGCGACGTCAATTTGGTGCATACTTAGCGTCTCATTATCAAGCATAGCTCACAGTGTTTCCATGTTTGACGGCACCATGCCAGTATTATTCGAGAGTTTTACCGAAATAATAATGATTTATGACTCGCAATACTCAATAAAACTGAAATACTTTTCAAAGCGTCGTTGAAAAAAATCACTAAGCGATTTGAAATATAGGTTTTCTGGAGTGATACTCACCTTTAGTCTCAACGTAAACTTGATACACAGCAAACAGTCATGTTCATCAGTCTGGGAGAAACAAAGAAACAATGAATGTGTTTTCTGTACTATTGTGAAAAATATAACACATCATACCCTATTGTAGTTTTGTTGAAAAACGAAGGTAGTAAGTGTGGGAAGTTGGTCCGGGAAGCTACGGCATAATTACTGGTTCTGTTCGGCACAGTTGTATAGCCTGAGTGAAATGGAGGAAGACATTGACATCCACTCAAATATGGTTGTGTCCAAGTTGAAGGGACCTACGTAAATACTTCGAGTTATCCGACGTTCGATACAGCCGCAAAATGATACCTAGCTGCTATTTCGAAATACACACATCAACTGAATTCTTATAAGTCACGTCACGAAATATATAATCTGGTTACTGTAAGTGGTACTCTTTCTAATTTCCAAAGAGATTTACATCTCGGCGGCATAACAAAAATCGAATAGAACTGCAATGTTTAGGGGTTGTACAAGAAAATATAATGCAGATGGTCAAGGATATGTCGAATGCGGCGCCACTGGAGGTGCAGGGTCACTGACCACCATTCTCTTGTATTCCTCGACACTGGAGTGTTTGCTGGACACAGAAGACGACTTCTGGTTGCCAGGCGACGAGTTCTGCAGCTTCCTCAGAAGGCCAAACAGTAAGGACAGTCCATCGTAATTAGGGCTCACGAACTCGTACAAGAAGCTGTAGTAAGAAAATTTCGATGATATGATTTCAGCAAAATTAGAACGTATGACAAACGTAACAGACATATGAATAAAGCGTCTGACCGGGATTTAATAGTTACGTCAGGCTGGTTTCCCTTTCCTGTAGACGTTTAACCTTCTTTTTGACAGACTGATACTCACACGCACACACGCACAGACACAGAGTCTGAATTGGTTCAAAGACAGCAGAAATTCAGCCAAGTAACGATTTGATAATGTTTGTAATGTTTTCGTTAGATCCAGTTTTCAAATGTAAACATTCTTTAGCTTACTTAATGTCCCCGTGGATTCCGGGTTAGAATTGGTCCCTAGCAAACCGATTCTGGTCTTAAGAGGTAAACATGTGGATCGGGTGGCCAGCCTCGTTAACTTGGTTGCCTGCGTGTCATCGTGACCAAACGGGGATTATTGGGCCCAGGCTCGATTAGTTCCAGACGGGCGTCACACAAGTACGACGTCAAACAAGAAACAGACAAGAGACATGAACGTAAACCTCGGCAGGTTTACACAACCTCAACAGGTACGACTTTATTGAATAGCCTACCGTTCAGTGCATGTCAGATAGACATTTTACTGTTGACTGCCGATTGGCCCATTAACTTGTTTCATTCTGGCGTAATGAAAAATGTTGTATGAAAACTGTAACGATAGTAACCATTTAAGCGCGTGGGGAAGACGATGATCGAAAACTTGATCCTTTTATGGTAATACTCATGGCTTGTTTACGCTGCCATATTTGTGCGCTTAGTTGTTTTGATAATGTCTAGGTTCATTTCAGTTCAGAATTAAAGCTACATGCATCATTATCTCTAAGTAACAGAACGAATGTCATATGGCTCACCATAAAAACCGTATTTGTTTGGAAACGTGTTCCCCTCCTCGTTTATGTTTGAACATACACCATGTGATCAATATACGTCATCAACGATTGGCACCGGAAGTGAAGTAAATTGACGAATCGTGTTGTGGAGAGCTTTCACTTCCGACTACGTTTTGTAATTATGTTCGCACAGCGTTTATCTCCCTTTCGTACATGGAATCGCGTTGCATTGCAACTTAAAAGAGGTGATTTTAGTGACACAGGTGATGGTGACAAAGTCGATGTTTTTCATATGAGCTACATCACACCTCGATGCAATTAATACGGGATTACCCTACCGCAATAACTAGGTTACACGGCTAGACTGAAATATATCCAAGCCTTCGATACGCAACAACGATGAAAGGGCGGCGAATTGAAAAAATAAACTTTCAGCGATCTCCCTATCGTATTAACCATTGAAGACCTATATTTATTTAATCACAGATCAAACACTACCTAAATGTATACTGACACGCTTGTATGGAGAAATAATCAACAGATTAGGAGATCAATATATTGATGAAGGGTAGCCGTAGTAGTCTGCGTTAGAAACGAATGGCTATCCGACGTGAAATTGTGTTCCTATGGAGAAATGACAATGATGCTTCGGGCGATCCTATGATGATAAGTGGACCACTGTAAACGATTGACAATTACGCTGTATGAAGCCAATTAACCAAACGAGCGTTCTTTGTTTGCTGCAACACAACATTTCCGCAAGGCACAACGACTTTCCTAACTTCCATATATGGCATGAAGCGTGTGTACTTGTGGGGGGAATGGGTTCTCTGGCCGCTACGAAGGGGCCATGATGGGCGGTCTACTCTTGACTGACATGCATTAACAGGGCACAGAAAGTGAACACTGGATTTGAAATTGGATTTCACCAAAAATACAAACTATATACGTTACAATACTAAAACACCCAAAACACAATTATATATGATGTTCCTATCAAACAATTCATCATCGAATAACTATTTCTAGTTTGTTTAATGTAAAGCCACCATCAAGTGTGGTGGGTGTACATCATTGTCAAAACAAGACGACTCTCAGTATTTGGGATTGAAGGCATAAACTCTAGTGAGTGAGTTCAGTTTTACGCCGCTTTAGCAATATTCCAGCACTATCACGGCGGGAGACACCAGGAATGGGCGTCACACAATGTACCCATGTGGGGAATCGAACCCGGGTCTTCGCCATGACGAGCAAACGCTTTGACCACTAGGCTACCCCACCGCTCCGCATAAACACAAGGATCCCAGGCGTGGCACACTTTACTTGATGTCCATGAATGTTGATAATTCCATAACACTGAACATGTTCAGACGCCATATCCAATATGTATCGATGGGGATTGCAATGCAAGATAAACATAGGCCAACCAGTGGCATCCAGTACTGTCTATTCTGCCCCAGAATAAAGACGTCGGATACATCTAACACAGTCTGAAAGATCTTGTCCTTTATGCAATTCTTCAGTAGAAGATGCACTACATTTTACCCTTGACTGTCCATTTTATGAAGATTAACGTTACATGTATATCCCAGAACGTTATCTGTCGGAACCACCACTGATAGCTTTTACCAGTTTATTAACAACTAATAATGAATCCACCCTACGCAATCCAGCTCTCTATGTTAAATATTCATTTATTCGTCGTAACGAGCACTTACAGTTAACCATGTCCAAATGTATGTAACTCGCTTGTATAAGGGCCGGTGGCCTAAAATACAATTAACGATTGTCTTGTCTTGTCTTGTAACACAGTCGACAATTCTGAAATATATAACGATTCAAACAGCCACGGTAAGACAAGACCAGCAATTATTTGCTTCTGTTACCAGTTTGCAAGATGCAACATTCGGAGTCTCTGAAACCTTGCTCTAGATCCCCGATCCACTGAACTTAGCCCCCGCAACTGTCCCCACTATCATAGCATAGACAGTAGAAGCTTTAGTATTCATGTTACTTGTATATTTTCGTCTTCGATTTGAAATTGAGAAGCAATTATGTCCCGAACAACAGAAACCCAGGTCAGAATGGGTCCCCAGCATTTTGCCGTCTTAGTCTGAGGTAACATGGCAGGATTGTGTTGACAGGCCGGATGACTGGGTTTGTTGCGTGTCATCGTGCCCTGACGGCGGTGGACAGTGCTCGTAATATCAATCACCAGATTGTTTAGTTGCGGCGTCCTGGAATATTGCGTACCTGTCATATGACATCTTCAGATCCAGCTTGAGTTTGCGCAGAAGGTATGACATTGGGCTGATGCCCTCTCTGATGACCATTGGGGGTCTGCCCGGCCCCGCCTTGTCACCGTGGACATACTTCCGGAGGTAGCTGATGTAGTGGCCGACAGCGTAGATGGGAGCACGGATTTGCTTGAAATGAAGTTCAAGAACACACTTTACAACTGAGTGTGATCATTTTGTTTGGAAAGGCCACATGGCAAACTATCTCTAGAATACCTTTTGTTAGTTCTTGTTCTTTGATACACTTGTCTGATATTCACATGAACGTATTTTCATCCTCTTACCTTTCTACACACAAATCTACAGTCTCTTACTCGTTTGTATACGATCTACTGTACATTTCGAGATGTGTTGTATACCAATGCATGGTTGCATATATTTGACGGCTACACTGACATAAAAGGAAATCCACGTTCAGACGTCCATACCGTTATTTCTGGTTTTGTTTTATATATACTACCCATCAAAAGATTAGACTCACTTAAAGCACCCATTATAAGTTATGTATGTATAAATGGTTACATCAAAGATGAATTTCTCCACGAACTTTGGGAACCATCTGCAAACTTTATGCAGATGAATTGCACGA